GCATGACAATATTCAGAAGTGAGGCTCGTCTGACTCTCCGCCCATCGCCGTCGCGGAATGTGTCTCTGACCTTCCCTTGCCGAACTGGTCTTATACATGCACATTACTCGCGTACTATAGCGGAAAATAGCTTATGCTTCGCGCTTCGCCATGCCGGTTTCACTGGCGTTTTCTATCTAGTTATTTTGACTGTCACCAAAATCAGCCAGTGCTAATTCTCTGGTGTCTCGTTTGAAAGTGTGAAGACAAATGAAGTAGTGCCGAGGAACAGAGGGTCTACGGGCAAGTGTCCCTGTATTGGTTGGAAGCTAACCGCTTTAGCTACGTTAGTGCAGCACTTGGTTGAAATGGCCACAGAAGAAAAACTCGTGAAGCTGGATCATTGTCGAGCTCGCTCGCAAGACTGACGCAACTGTTGGTCGAGTTCCTCAGAGATGGTCAAGAGTGTGTGGGTGTGTGTGCTATTTTTCATAGGACCACGAACACAGTTCACGTTGTATGCCTGTAGAGGCAAAGTTCTCCACCTAAAATGTCATTCGACACCATGAAAACGAACCCCCGCCCTAGATGATGTATGGATGGGTGATCTCGTACTCCGACTTCGAACTCACAAACGTCGGCTTTGAATGAATGGGGATGAAAAGCCGTCCGAACCAGTCATGGGGACTCGTGCCTAGTGGACAATTATCTTGGCAGTGGGTTTGTAGATTTTAGCTGCTCTACTCAGAAAACAACACAGAACCAGCATGTCGGTTATCACAAGAATGCTGAGTTGTGGGCAAAAGTCGTGCCCCAGGCGGGAGTCGAACCCGCACCTCACGCTTTCCGGGCGAGTGCGCTATCCGTTACGCCACCAGGGCCGCTTTTACCCTCTCAGCTTAACCTGGTAACAATGAGGTTAAGCTGAGAGGGTCAATCATTAATCTTTCACACCGAGAACATTCGGAACGCGCACTGTGGCGTAAAACAGCAGTTATCATAACAAAACAGTATCATGTCTGTGTTTATTGCCT